CGCACAGAGTGTCCCCTCATAAGCACTCAAACATCCATCCAAACTCGCATAATGCATATGCATAATCATCTAACAACCCTCAAGCATTACATACTACCGACTTCCTTTGCACAAAGAAGCCACACATCCCCCCACCATCCCTCCATATTGCAACCCTCCGAATCACGGCCGCCGCCGTAATGTATAACGACCACACACCTGAAGGGACAAAAAGGGCTCCGATAGATCTCATCGCCGCTCCCCTGATGCTCGCAATCGGTCAGCAGTAAACATCACCTACCCAAGAATCACATAAAGCCAAAGGGAAATCAGATCCGGTGAGTAAGGAGGAACAAGAGGAGGAGGAGGAGGAGGAGGAGGAGGAGGCGGAATCGTCATCAGAAAAAACTAGAGATATCGGTCATTCCATCCATCAAAGCCCAAGCAGACAAACAACGCATCCAATACCAATGAACCAATGGTAAGCACCAAACASTTATAACAAATAATGTTGWTAAAAACATAACCAAGGTTCTCATAGTACCTCACGATCACCATATTACCACATAGAGGGTAGGTGATAGTCCGACAACGTCCGATCATGGCTAGGGTGGTGGSAAACATCCTAAAACGTTTTTCGCTAGTCTTGCCACAAACTTAGCTCATCAGAGGAATAATAGAAAAGCACATGACCATGACATCAAGAGGAAGTACACGAGAACCACCAATCATAGAGGGCATAYGGGAAGAGGGGWCATGCGTAAAATATTAATAATWAGGCAATCGGTYAYATTACCTCCGRCTGCGGGTTCGYCGAGTCTTCTTCTGCAAGATGTRTGTCAAGCATCTCCTCGAAGTCAAAYRAAGATTCCATAGCGGCCTCAACGTATCCTTCGTGAGCTTAGTGAAAGMGCTACTCGCRGAGTGCRGTGAATCGTCACCCCCAARGGGAGGAGTGAGCAGGAAAACGCAAGCGTTGYTGACATAGTGAGAGAAAGCCTYAGAAACGYTCGAGCTGGCTGAGCCAAAATTTCGACASCGAARGACRCTGTAGCATAGAWYGGCGCACCCTGCATATCARCGCTAAACACTSCTTTGAYGGAAGGACTTGGTCGATTTTGCTAATGAGCTTCCACACGAGAGACAGGGATTCCCTCGTGCGCTAACTCATTAGCTTCGACCACTCCAAGAGGATTAATCCTATGCCTAATCCCTCCTTGAATATGCACCGACACCCCCTACTTTCTCTCCTAGAGGTCGCGCCATACGGGACTGAATACTCTACTGCCTAATAAATTAGTCTTTTTTAACCGAATTCGCGACCAGAAACATCAGCCAGGTTTAGCGTAACTTTTCAGAAGTAGGCCCACCTCAAATAGTGATTCCCATAAGGATTCCCTATTAGGGCCACTCAGGGTCAGATTAACCCAGTTTTAGTCATATGTCCCGTACTTGGTTCAGGGCCACCTAAAATCTACCATGTAAAAAACAGGAAGTGCACCTAGGAATTTAAATAGCACCACCTCCCCATTTGGTACGGGGACCTCTATATACTTCATACCCTAAAGCTTGGAGGGCCGACAATAATAATAATAATAATAAATGGATAAAACTTGATATATAAAAAAAATTAATAAAGTCGTAAGGGAATAAGCACACTAGGTATGAAAAGGAAAACGCCAGAGGAGGCGAGATTTTAAAAAAAAATCTCCCCACTCAAGGGCATTCATTTTATTCAAATATTATTCACCATAATGATCCAAACCTGAGCCGCTGAACATACAAACAAAGGCCCAAAAGGTAAGAAAGAACCACAGGGTTCAGAGAGTTCCGAAAAAGAGTCGATGGACCTTAGAAAGTTCAACATGCCCAAAAAAATCTTTTATGTGTGTGTGTGTGTGTGTGTGTGTGTGTGTGTGGACCACCCCTAACCCGCTGAGGGAGACCTTTCCTAGAGGGTCAGGGGAGAACCCTGACCCGATAGGTCAAGTTGCCCCAGCATCCCCCTCACCAGGTTCCAACAGTGGATCAGTTCCCATCAGGGGACACAGACACTGAAACACATCACCCAACCACAGACGCATTAAGTATGAAGATAGTAGAGAATCATCATCGTACCTTGAGGAGCCTCTTCGTTTCCAAACGACAACAACGAAAGGTCTGGAAAGCACTTGGTTGGTCACTCCTCTGATGCATTTGTTTTTAAGAAAACCATTTTTTTTCAAAAACATCAACCAGGATCTTAACATCCTTTGCTGCATGAAATGCGGAATTGAAGAGAAGCATGATTAGCGCTGTCTGAGAAATGATCACATTGATTGACAATATGACAGACCTATTTGACTCATATTTAATAAATTTGACAGGTTTAAATGTTAGTGCTCGAGCCTTATCGTGCTTTGTAGTAAAAAACTGCCCATTTGATTGGGGGATGACCCGGATGTCCAGATGGAGAAACTGTGCAGCCTTACCATAAATCATTTGCTCAGGTCCCATCGTAAACTCATGAGTTTGATTCTTAATTTCAATGATGTCTAACGGGTAAATCCAGAACGGATTGTCGCATGTTCTGGGCTGCTTTGGATCGAAAAACCTCAAGATTGCGGGGTTATTGATTACATGCAGATCATCAATATATCTGAATGTCACTCCAAATAACGCAGCAAAGTCCAACGGTCTCATCTTAATTAACCTCTCAATGAATTCATATTCGTACTTAAAAAAGTATATATTACACCATGACTGAGAACAGGGAACCCATAGGAATGCCTTTCACCTGCCTCCACACAGAATTCCCAAAACTTGTGTAGCATCTTACCAGAATCCATTCACACAAATCAATAATATGATCTGCTTCAATGGAAAACGAATTCGTCGTCCGAGGGGTAGACGACTTGGCTAATTTACAGCGAATCTTGCCATTTCTCAGATACACACATATTACACACTCGAATCATGCTGATATCTTCATCCTTCTAAAAGCCAAATTCACGAAGAACCTGATAGAACTGATCAATCCATCATCCGTACCATCAATGGGGATGTTTTCAAAGCACTTTGATATGTCAGCAGAGAACACAGGGTGAACCTCTAGAGGGAGGTTATAACAATAATCTTGTACACAATCGATAACCCACCAGTACGCCGTGTCTATTCCATGGAAGGTCTTCGTAGTCCTTGCGATAACGCCGCAGTGTTCCATAACTACCTCCTTGAGGGTGGACAAAATCGTATCAACCAAGAGTGCAGGATACGTTAGAAACCAATCGGACACATTCGTAAGCCATCTAAACGTCATTTTATGTTGTTTAAAAATAGCCATCAGGTACGACAACTTCGGCAAGTTCTCTGAACCCATCCTCACCATCGGGAATCCATTTTTCAGGGATGTGGTTGCTTCATCCAAGACCTGCTCCATGGGGATGTTAGGGAATTCAAAGTCGGGGTTCGACAGCCGCTCAAGGGCTAAGGCACGAATGAAGTGTTTGCAAACAAAAAACGGGGTATTGGCGACTTTGTCCGTGCCAGCCACATACAGATGCTCCAAAATGAATCTTACCTCACTCTTTTATTGGAAAGGAACACTCCTAGTTGAGCACCTACCACACCGATGACCAATCTCATTATTGAGCAATTTTGTAACGAGGCTAGTCATATGCTTGATCAGTGGTCTCGGAATGGCCTCAGAACGCAGAATGATCGCCAAGGTATCATCCCATGCTTTCATAAGCACTTCAACTGCCTGTTCTCTCGTGGGAGTTCTTGGAGGGATATGATTCAAGCGCATCTCAAGCAGGTTAGTAAGCTTTAGACATCCTGCAATCAGTGGATCTAACGTAAGCACATGCTTAGACGCTGATTGGCAAGGTTGCGTCATGCAGAACGTATCCTCATTAAGGAATGGTTGGAAGCGTAACACACTGTTGCACGGACATAGTGATTCCTCAGTAAAGGAGCCGTGCCACTCCACAAGGTTAAATAACTTGAAAACAGAGGCAGACTTGTACACATATCGACTGATAGGGCGGTCATAGGTCCATCCAAATACGATAGACAGGAACAAGGTTCAAGTTAGCACATGGACACTTACGAATTGGGAGAGAACAGATTCAAAGACTTTTTTGACATTGACCCCTTCCAAAAGTCTCCCAACATAGTGGATATGCACGAATCCGGGAGCAGAGTCATTCCTATTCTGTATCTTCTTCCACTGCTTTCTTCCTGAGGGCCCAATGACCAAGGAACCCTTGCATACCTGCAAAGCCACACATGACAGCAACTTGAGATACAAGAACTTCAATTGTCAAAAATTGCCCAGTTGACATTCCGCTGATGACCAGCATTCCCTCCAACGATAGCCGCAAGTAGGCCAACCCTTCTCCCTCCGACAGAGGTAATCGTGGATTCAGGTGGGGTATCATCATCAGGGATGGCTAGTCGATGGGATGGCCAGTCGATCAGGGGGGGTTGAATTCACGAAATGATCGATTGTCCCCAGGCCCTCGCATCTCACTCTCTTACCACTTGAGGAATATGATTCCCAGTCGTCCTAGACCTCTTCTTCACATACTTACTCATCAGGAGTAACTTCGCACATTCCCTGAATGCCTTTCAGTCACCACCATTCACACCGATCAATACAGAGTCAACGATCAGCGAGGGATTCGTAATGATCTTCTTGGCAAGAAGCATCATGATCTCCCTCAAACATCCAAATGAAAGGGAAGTGAGCATCAATGGCTTCCAACAACTGGACATACATTTGATGAAGGAGGACACTTCCGCCCTTGGGCTCGGTGCATCTGGATAAAGGATATCCAGATTCAAGTTGTACAACAAGAACCAAATAAGATGATTGAACCAAGCAGGGCCAGTACCGCAATCCGCTTTCCCCTCAGCAGTGCATCTGCACTTTAGATAATGTCTCCCCACAGATTCTCTTCAGTTCCGCCAAAGCTGAAGGGTTCTAGGGGGGCTTGTTTCCTTTGACCAAGACTTGGGACGAGGGAGAGGGCACTTGCTGATGTCCATCACGCTCATGGATGGGAGGAAAAATCCATCCCCATTGAAAGAGAGCTTGATCTCGGGTGGTACAGTGCTCGTCTCTAATGCTCTATCATACGTCGCTTTTTCATCTCATCCTGTGTAAGGGACACTAGCAGTCTGTATCCCCTCTGATCTATAGGAGCAAGAAAGTTGAAGGTCTCAAGGGACCAGATCTTGCTAGAGAAGGCAGTGGACATTATCTCAACCCATCTGGGTGAGGCAAGGGGGAGGAAGGGATTCCTTCGTACATCCGAAAAGGTTTTCTTCTTGCTTGTCATCAGACAAGCTTTGGTCTTTGCCATCTCAGCGTCCTTCTTTTTCAAGTACTCCTTCTCCTCTTCAGTCAACTCATCCTCCTCATCCTCAATCGCCACCTCATCCGCTACTGCTAACTTTCGTACGTCCTTCTCCCTATGAAACTGTGAATCGACACTCCATAGCTTGATGAGCTTCGACTTCGCTTCAATTGTGTTGGCCTCTATTGTCCTCTCCTCAACCCTCACCGCATCTTTCACAGTCGTGGTAGCTCTCATCATTCTATTCAACGTATCAATGAAATCACTCCTCTTATGCCGGTATACGTATATAAGCTCAGCCCAATCGTTGAACGACAAAAAATCAATCAAGGGGAGGGAGTGAATTTCAGGTGAGATCGACCTTTCCCTAACCTCAACTATCACTTGTTTTTGTGCGTACGCGATCAAAGCTTGTGTGGGCCGGGAGGGAGGATTAAAACGGGCAAGCCAGACCTTATCTCCCATAACAAGATCCCCAATCCACAGCACTTGAGGCGCAACAAAATCCTGGACACAGTGAATCATAGAACCACATTTTTTAATATGAGTATCACAACAAAAAGGAGGGAATTGAAATCATTGGAACGAAAACGATTTTCTAAGCAAAGTAATTCAGGGAGCCCAAAAAGGAGTACTATGCATCCCATTCGTGCGTCATGAGCGAGAGGCCGTGGGTATCAGCCACAAGAAGAAACTTCCACCAAGGGTACTTCCCCCGAATGGATTTATGGGTGTGATGATGTGTGTGGACACATATTGCGGACGCCTCAGCATTTAACACATAAATGCTCCATCCCACCATCACGACACAAAATACACTCCAAAAGGACCCCTGAGGCACTCCACCAATTCCTATAGATTCCATCCCTCATAATGCCCGATTCCATATACAAACAAAAGATTCACCAAGACAGGGGAGTTACTCACTCCGGCAAGAGCAGTAGATCAAGGACCACGTTAC